TAAAAGTTTGAAATTTTCTTTAGTTTTCAACCTCCCGGAAGCGACCACTTGACAGATAATAGAGCAGAAATTGAATAATAAGGTGTTGGGACATTATTGCATCCCGGGTTGTACAAGAGACGGAAATTCTTAATAGCAAGTACCGGGTTTTTCTCGAAATTGACTTTTCACACGAATAAAACATTTAAAACATCAGTTACCGTATGCTAAGGAGGTAAAGTTGTGACCCAATATTGTCTAATCTCTCGTAAGCAACCACCTCCCTTGAGCGACTACCTAGGCTTGACATATTGGGTAGTTGGTTACGGGAAGTTCAATAGTATTTCGGAAAGGTGATTATATTCACAATTGTCGATCTACACATTTCAGAGAAATTGACATTTAGAAAGTAATTTTGTCTAAAAGAGCTTTCGGGAAATAAAACGAGCTGAAATTCTCGTCGTTCAGAGCTTATTTCATCAAAAAAAACATTCAACAAAAAACAAGAATTCGGATCCTTCAAAATATTTTTCCTGCTTCGTTTTGCAGGTTCAAGTTTGACGCTTACTGTTTATTTACATTTCACATCATTAAAAATTAAGGGTGTGAGGTGTTTTTTGTCAATGACCTGATAATATGGTTATTTTCTGTGAACTGGCTTTATTTTTTACGAGCTTAGAAGATTCGCAGGAACACATCGCCATCGGAAGACCTTACGATACAAATTGATATTTCCTGTTTTTACCCAAAGGTATGTCCCAATTTGGATTCTTTCATAAAGTTATATTTCTTTTTCAGTATATTTTTACACCTTTCTTCAAATCAAATCAAAGTGATAATTATCCTTTAGAAATATCAATATCTCATCCACTGACCCACAAACTCGAGTAGATGATTCAATTTCTGACTATAACAGTTTAGAAGTTGTAAGAATAAAAGGCTTCCCAGTTTGACAGCTTAACTCGCTCTAGTTATATAAGAAACACTTGCAGATTATTTCTTTGTGTTGCGGTGGCAATTTATGAAAAGTACCTTAAAGGTCAAGACAGACACGCGATGTCCTGTGGTGGACAGAACAGAGTACATCAGCTTCAACATCGGAAGCTTAAAATCACAGCGCGGCCACGAAACTTCGTATAAGTTTTTCTAGAAGCTAACAAGTCACCGCTAATCTAAAGTACATGAATTTAGTGTGAGTAGCACACTTAGATATCATTTCACCAATGGGCTCTAACTGCGCCTCAGTCATGAAGTTATAAAAAAATACCCTGTGGCGATTGCTTCGAAGGTCCCATAATTTTGTGATGGAGCGATAAGAGGGAGGGGGAAATAAATAAGTTATTTACCGGCTTGAGGCCGGTCCGTATCGTATAGTGAAAAACTTTGTGCACGGACTCAAAAACGTTGTTGGAAAAGTGATAAAAACTGTTGCCAGCCATCTTCCTAAATCATCAGTTTAACGTTTAACTCTTTGTTATCGAGATATCATTACGCTGTGAAAAACATATCTTAGCATTGTTATGTTAGAACTCGCGTCAGTAAAGCGATATTACACTACAGCATAAGCTGTATTACTTACAGAAATTTGTATCAAACAGAGAATATATCATTTGACACTGTACCGTGAGGTCACTAGGCATGTATCATGTTTCTTTACACAGCACAGAGATGAAGATTGTCTCCGCCCTTTTGGTGGGATGGGCGATCCTTCTAATGAGTTTACGTTATGGTATGGTAAATTATTTTAAATTATTTTGAATTATTTTAACTTATAAAATCATTTTATTGGTTTTACTTTCAAGTCTGATTAAGCATATTTTATCCACTTTAACTTGCAGGTTAATTTAGTATTAGTTAGTTACACATGACCCCTAAAGCATGCAATGCTTTAATCTCATCGTCTTAAAATAAAGGATCTTACTTCTTTTTTTTTTTAATTTGATGCACATGTATATTAAAAAATATTTCGAAGATTTGATTGGAAGAAATTCGGGCCGATCTAACTTGCGAAATATGTTCGTAAAATCTCAAGTTCTATGAAAGGAGAAAAACTAAGATTACCACACAAAATCCAAACTATTTTTTATTTAATTAATTTGGAATTTGTGTTTTCCATTGAGACATCTTCCAATTAAAATTTTTTTTCTGGAGTAATATGTTTCAGATGGTAAAAAATGTGACTTATAAGAGCTTTGTGCGCTTGTAATAAGCGGTACAGAGCCTAAAATGGTGTGGGAAATTGTTAAGAATGCATTACCGCTGAGCCACCTTTGTGCTGCCATTTGCTCCTTCAAACTATTACTCGTGACATTCCTCCACATGGGTAGTACTTAGTCGATTGCTTTTGTTACTAGATCAACTAATTTAAAAAGTAAACAACGTTTTTCATTTTACAAAAGATGAAAATTCAAATGTACAACCGTCGAACATTCACAACTGAAGATGACATAGGAATGTCGAAACATGTTTTGTAAAATGAAAAAAGTTGGTTTCCTTCTTAAAGATTGCTGTTACAGTGCTGTTTTTACGATCTTTTTATTTATTTTTTAGTCCTTTAACGCTTTTAAAAATATTGAATATTCCTGTTTCACCTCGCATTTAGGGATAAATACGTTACAAAATTTTTAATACGAAAAGGTTTCTTTTTCAAGGTCGAGCATCATCTATCAAACATAATCGACTAAAAGAAACAAGTCTGACAGAGGGTAAGTTTTCATGGTTTCTGCACGCCAGGCTGGCCAGCTGATATTTTGTTTTAATGTGCCATTTTTGTGCTTGGAGTACGACTCGGATTTTAGTTTTCCACTGTGACTGAACTGAAATGTTTTGTAGACTGATATTCTCACTCAAGATACGTTCTTCTTTTAGGTAGTAATTTACCATTATGTGTAAGAGATTTTCATTTATGGTGTCTTTTCCGTTTGAAACATATCAGCTAATGTCAGGAAAAACAGAGTAAAATCTTGATTTCTTTTCATTTCAGAAACCGAAAACTATGTTTTTCTGATCACTTTTCTTTCATAAAATGCTATGTTAGATGAAAGAGAAACGTGATTTAGTTAGTGTCTGACAGAAGAACTTTTAGACCTTTTCTGTTTAGAGAAACAAGAAACGACCTAACATTATTAGAGTCCAACGGCTGTCAAACATGTGTTGTATGTAACAGTTAGTTACACACACTTTTATATACACAGTTTTATATTATCACCAATTTTATAATATTGTTAGCATTCATTTGTTTAGTATTTTTAAAAATCTTTACATTAGTGTATATTGAAGTATTTTATTAGTATTTTTAGTAACCATATCTTAGCTGGTGTAAGTTTTTAGCAATTTTTAGTAATTTTTAGAATGTTGAAGTATTCTATTAGCATTTTTGTTAACTATCTAGTAGCCAGTGTAAGTTTTTAGTAACTTTTAATTATTTCTACAGCTTGTCCCCAAGTAACGCCTATCGCGCTTGATGCATTTGACAGGCAAATAAAGTTACTCACTTACTATCCGATTCTCATGAAATTCATACATTTCAGATTTCAAATCCGAAATCTTTTGGCGAAAACTCTTAAATCAGCTTTCTTCAAAAAACAAAGGAATCGACTTTGTGATGGTATTCCCAAAATATTGGAACAGATTTATTAAATTTTATTTTTCAGAAGGGAGAGGAGAGAGAAGAGCATGTCCTGGTTTACCCGAAAAACCAAGGTATCTTTTAGTGGAAAAATTGGTAAAAAGAGCGACAGGGAGAACTAACGTTTGCAATCTATTCACTTACGGTTGTTGGTGTGGTCGACGTGGACACGGAAAATACGTGGACAACTTTGATTAGTAAGTATGGACTTCCTCCAAACCATAACAATAACAATAACAATAACAATAACAATAACAATGACATTTATGACTTAAATTAAGCTTTTTCTATAAAAATAGTCAAAAGCGTATTACAATTAGATCAATTCTTACAACTTAACATTGAGAATTAAAACTACCAAAGCATCTTAAAATTTTTAAAAGTGCTAAAATCCTATAATATATTCGAAAATTGGACTTATAATGAAGTCTTAACAAAAGGCCTTAGAGAACAAATGAGACTCAAAAAGCAACGACGCTTTGGGAGTAAGTTATATCTCCTTCAGAGCTTGATATTTTGTAGGGTATAGCAGGTTAGATCGGTCTGAAACTCTTTCGATCAGATCTTCCAAAAATTTTTAAAATATACATGAACATAACAATCTGGTTTGATTAAAATTTGAAACACGAAATAAAGTAGGGGTTGTACAATTAATTTCTTTGTTTTTTGCAAATTGGTATATTGTGTCTTTCTTTAAAAACTTGCGTCAAGGAAACTAGATTATTAGAACTACTCTGCCAGACTTAAGGCATTTTCGCAGAAGGAAGTGCAATAAAATTCCCTGCTGTTTTTGCTTTTACTGGTGCTGACTACTAAAAGCATATGCAAGCATGTTACAAATTATATGAAAACCCTGACGTTTTTCTTTAAGCGCGCGCAAAATACTTACCGGCGTCTGTGTAACTTCACTGTTTGTTTTTAAATTAATCATTTCTGTATCATATATTTCCATTTATGATTAAGATGCTTTTTTCTTCTGTTCCATTCCCTTCATTTTAGCTTGCCTCCCCCATAGCTTCTGTTCCCCTCTTGTTCCTTTTTCTCGCTCATAATTTATTTGGTTATTGTCATCAGCTGCTGCAAAGTTCACGATTTTTGTGAGAAAGACCTTGATAAAGATCCGGACAAGTGTGATGTTGTCGGAGGACTTAGGTATAAGGCGAAAAAATTCCTCTACGACAAAGATACCAACAAGTGTTGTGAGTAACATATCAAACACTCAAGACATTGTTTGACCACATTTCCAAACACCGAGAAGTTAGTTGAAAATACGACGCGTAGCGGAGTACGTTTTTAGAGCTTCGAGGTGTTTGAAAATGTTGTCAAACACTGTCTTGAGTGTTTGATATACCTTCTTAATGGAAACTAGAACTAAGGAGAAAACGGAGAAATAAAATCGTAAAATCTATGCTAATTAAGATCAGACATTCAAACNTAGGTTTAAGGTGAAACAATTCCTCTACAACAAAGATACCAACAAGTGTTGTGAGTAACATATCAAACACGAAAGACAGTGTTTGACCACATTTCCAAACACCGAGAAGTTAGTTGAAAATACGACGCGTAGCGGAGTACTTTTTTAGAGCTTCGAGGTGTTTGGAAATGTTGTCAAACACTGTCTTGAGTGTTTGATATACCTTCTTAATGGAAACTAGAACTAAGGAGAAAACGGAGAAATAAAATCGTAAAATCTATGCTAATTAAGATCAGACATCCAAACCAACCGTCCCGACCATGATTTCCTGTCTCTAAACTTGATGAATTATTGCTGTGTTCGAAAGGTTTGTTCAGGGTAAAATGGTTTTTTCATTCTGAGAAAAAGTATTCGTTAAAAGTAATAAAGAAGAACACCTAAATGAAGTTGTTGTTAAACGGGGCATGATTACGTACGGCTCGCACTTCACCGCTTGAGTTGAGAGAAATTTATCTCGGAGCTATCGTGTGTATATATGGCTTATAAACGAGGGCGAATGAAATAAACTTTTCAAAACAATATTCCAGAAGTACCCTAAAGAGGAGTGGTCTATGCTTCATATTGTTTTTAGTTCCGGAATTGTAGGGCAAGTTTTAGCTAAAAAACCAGTCCATTTTATTTTATTTTTATTTCGTTTTTTCAGTGATTTTTCTATTGTTTGAATTTTAATTCTATTAATATCTAGATCTCCAATGAAAACACGGGAAACAAAAAACAGCTTTTCGGGACCGGTGACTATCGGGACTTTAGAGAAAGGGGCCCCTTATCCCTTATTTAACCATTTGCCCGTTAATAGATAATAGTCAAGCGAGTTTTGTGAAACAATGCATGATCCATCAGTAATAACTAAACTCGACAGGGAGGGTTGTTCGAAAGCCGGTTTACGCTAACCTAGGATTAAAATTTAACCGAAGTAGTAACTTTTCTGAAATAAAATTGTTTTTCACTTTTCATGGTTTGTGTATTTTGAGATT